ACTGAAGAAAGAGACAGGCAACTCTAGGTTGGCAGCAGAGGGGTTTATTAGGGAGACTTACATGTGAGTCAGGACCTGTGAGGCAGCAGGACCAAGCAGATCTCTGTGCCCAACAGTGGAGGGGGTGGGGGCAGATGTTTTTATACTGGTGGTGAACAACAGTGGCTACATGCCAGGGTGCTTCTAGACTGACATAAGGCTGCCTCAGCAAGAATTACATAAGAATGACTTAGCAAATGGCAGTGAACAAGCAGAAAGCAAGATGGCAACCATGTTCAGCCTTGCAAATCCTGTTTTCCCTTCAGCCCACCCCTTGAGGCCAACTCTTACAATCTGGCACATTCCCCCTCTTCCACAAGGTCTGTGAGGGCCTCGAGAGAATGTGTTACACCAGTTAGCATTGCTGCAGCTGTAGGGAAAGACCACACTAGCAATATAGACAAACACAGCAGAAAGACCTAGAAACAACAACAAACCTTGCCAGCCAGAGGGAAAAGAGGATAACCAGGCAGCCACAGCAGATCAGCCATCAGGTGTGTCAAGACTTCTATCTGTTTCTTCATATGGCCTAACAAATCAGTTGTGTTCTGCTGATAGTCTGGCATATAGGTACAACATTCAGTTTTTCCTATGGCACATGTCTTGTTAAATGACCTGTAAAATGTGTGCTCTGCTCACTATCACTCCTTTGGGATATTCCATACATAACACTCAAGTTTTGTAATTCTTTTATTGTAGCAGCGTGGTTCATTCTTTTACACGAGAACGCCTGTGTCAACCCAGTAACTGTCCACACATACGAGAGTGTATTTCACTCTCTCACTGGGCTCCACAGGCCCCATGTAAGCTACCTACCGGTTCATCCATGGCTGTGTTCACGTATGTATATTCCCAGGATCGTGGGGGAGAAGCCTTGGGCGTTAGCATGAGCACACAGGATAATTTTGTATAGCAACCTCCAAATCACTATACTTCTCTGCTATGCTTGCCTCTTTAGCTGTTTTTCAACCAACACAGACACTACAGTGTCCACTTTTCTGGTAAATCCAGTGGGTAGCTTCCCCTGTGGGATGAACTGTTCCAACTTGTGTTACAGCATCTGCTTCTTGTTTCCCAGCAGGGAAAGAGGTAAATGGGCTGCTACATGAAAGACAGGTTAG